GCGACCCTGGATTTATTGAAGAAGCATTTACATCGCTATCCAAACAAATTGATGCTTCCCCTATAAATAAGGACTGTTGTCTGGTTATCGATGCCATGCAGCCATGAAGCAAACATTATGGAACCCCCAAAAGGACCAGTATTCAGGTTTTGTTGATCTTGGCAATGAAATTCCAAATGTTCAGTGTGACAAACTGGCATCTGAGGCATTGGTTTTCCTCTTAGTTGGAACAAGAAGCCATTGGAAATGTCCAATTGGATACTTTCTAATCGACAAAATCTCAGCCAAAGACCAAGCGATGTTGGTGTCAAAATCCTTGGAAAAGGCTGCAAAGGCAGGTCTGAAGGTGTGGTCAGTGACAGCTGATGGAACAGCAGTAAACCTCCGAACATTCGAAATACATCAAAGAATTACAGCAACTCCAACAACAGGAAGGACTTCATCTTGCGAACAAACTCTCAATGAATCACCTTAAATACGAAAAACATAAAATGAATGTTAGACTGGCTGCACAAACTCTTAATTATCTGTGGCAAATGCAATCGAGTTTCTAGATGTCTCTACTAAACATCCTAGTTTTTGTGATAGTCAAGGAACAGTCAAATTCATCCGCACAATAGACCAACTTTTTGACATGCTCAATAGCAGAAATCCTATTGGAAAAGGGTTCAAGACACCTCTACGTCTCCAAAGCAAGGACACATGGCAAGAAATTTTTTCCACCACAGCGAAGTATCTACTGTCGTTAAAAACTAATACCCCCATAACACAACTACTTTCAACAACTGCACGTAAAACATTTATAATCGGGTTTGTAACCTGCATCAAGTCAACAATTTCTATGGCTACACAAATGCTTTGTGCACAAACCAACCCATTCAAGTACCTATTAACCTACAAATTCTCGCAGGATCATATCGAACTGCTTTTCTCATGTATACGATCCAGAGGAGGATGGAATAATAATCCCAACTGTTTACAATTCATGTATGCACTTAGAAAAATGCTGATGAGGAATGCCATCACTGCATCAAAAAACGCAAATTGTGTGGACTTCACTGGTTGGAACAGCATTATTCCACTTTTTCATGTTAGAAAACACAAAGCACCACCAACTAACAACGAAAACCAAGAAGAAAGCACATCTGATGAGATAAATGCCATGTGTGAACAGTTGGACCGAAGTGGGCACAGCGAATTTACTTCTAATGTGCTTTTTTACATCGCTGGGTACATAGTATCAAAGCTAATGGAAAACCTACCTTGTTCTGCATGTAAAAGAAGCCTTTTCGCTCTGCCAAAACAAACCCCTGAAAATGGGCATGATTACACCTCCAGTTTATATCATGAGGCTGGCAAAGCATCGTCTTTCACTAGATTCGTCAATCAAGGTGGTTTACAAATCCCATCAACCTCGGTATTTCGAACAATCGAGTACAGTGAACACGTTTTTAAAGCAACGGTCTGTGGTAAAGATCATCAACAAATAAATAAACAACGAGAAAAATCTAAAGAAAAAAATGATAATCAACGTATGTCACCACTTCACACTGGATACAACAGTGGATGTTTTCACAGATCATGAAGACGGCGACAACGAACTGTTAATCGAAGACGACCACAGAACAAAACTGATAAAATGCACCGCGGACAACGAGGGGCATTTCACTCCAAAAATCCCGTACACTTCGTCAAAAAATCCGGAAAAAATCCAGAAAAAATCCATGAAATCCTCAAAATCCGTTGAATCCATCAAAATCCGAAAAATCCTTTAAAAACCACAGAAATCCTTCAAAAATCCACAGAAATCCTTCAAAATCCTTAAAAAATCCGCAAATCCACAAAAAATATATGAAGTACTTGGTGTAATTTACTCGTAAAGGTTCTTTGCCACGTTCAAAATGGCGGACAGCGAAAGCTAAACGCTTACCGTGATCGCTGTCATTATATTTCGTAATTATTGGACCACTCTACATTTCCATTTATACGCTCGAGTATACGCTAAGTTTTTTTAGCCTATTACTACTAAATATGTGTTCTTGTTACAATGACGTTATGTTGTAAAATATAATTACAAAACCATTGTCTATATAAAAAGTTTACATTCATCATTGTCTTTTACTGTTTTTGAAAGAATAATGAACTTGTTTGAATTTTAAACAAAATGACTGCATGCCCAGCCTTCGTTAGTTTCTGAAGGCTGTGGTTCTAGTCCCAGTCCTCCGCTCGACCCTGACGTCCTGGCATAACGTTGACGTTGTAGACGTCGTACAACTTAAGATTATTTGTTCAAAACGTTACCTAGATCTATAACTCTATAATTTAAAAAAAATCCTGAAAAAATCCGAACAAATCCGGAAAATCCAAACAATCCGGAAAATCCAACAGATTTTCAAAAATCCAGAAAAAATCCGAATAAATCCGGAAAATCCCAACAAATCTGGAAAATCCAACAGATTTTCTCTTCAAAAATCCGCTAAAATATCCGGGGAAAATCCGCTAAAAAATCCGCGGATTTTTAAAAATCCGAAAATCCCGTACGCTTTTTTGGAGTGAAGTGCCCCTCGGCGGACAAGTATTTCACGTTGCGATTATTCACATTCGGCAAAAAATACATAGAACAAGTCGTCAACAAAGGCAAACAAAGTGATAGACACAGACTAAATAAACTTATATTGTTCAACAATCAATGAAGTTGTTATGTTAATACGTTAAAATAAAGAATTACTTATCTTTCATCTCAAGTTTCATGTAAACGTTCCAATCATTCAAATATGGACTCGTTGTCTGACTTGTCTCCAAACTTCTTCGATGCAGTGTTCATTTTCTTCCCATCGGTCACTTTTTTCCTCGCAGTTTGACTCGGTAGGGTTCAAGATATGTTTTAAATACACTTTGAATACAAAAATATAGCTTAAAACCCTAAAATTAACGACAATTTTCGATCCATTCGCCCGAACATGAAAATCATTGATGTGTGCACGCCATGCCAAATGGTCTCGCGCAGGTATCGCGAGAATGTCTCGCAACTGAAACGCGCGTGTCTGGAGGTAGAACACGCGCGGCTGGAGGTAAAATTTGGCTTCATCCGATTATAAGCCAATCCTATTGGAGGTAGCGTTCCAGGTATTTTTAGTTCACTGGTGTGATATGTCGGTATTAACCACTGTGAATTACGCATGAGATTCAACATGACAATCAACATGATATTCGATATTGTGTGAACTCACTCATTTCAATCACTCAGAAGTAAAAATGAAAAATTTCGCCATTTCTTCTCTTCCAAATAAATTAGAAAGAAATAAATCATATAGTTCGTATTAACTAATTAATACCTTTATGTTTTAGTGCATAAAAACCAACAAACGCGCATCAAAGCAGTCAAAAAGACATTTTACTAACAATGACCACAGGTGCCAAATACAGCAGGTACTAAAAAACTGTCAAGAATTGTTTTTAAATAATTAAATTCCAACCACGTTTGTTGGTTTTTATGCAATAAAACATAAAGGTATTAATTAGTTAATACGAACTATATGATTTATTTCTTTCTAATTCATTTGGAAGAGAAGAAATGGCGACATTTTTCATTTTTACTTCTGAGTGATTGAAATGAGTGGGTTCACACCATAGTTCACACAATATCGAATATCATGTTGAATGTCATGTTGAATGTCATGCGTAATTCACAGTGGTTCGGTATTAAATGGTCGAAGTTGTGCACCAAACGAAACATTGAACATTTTTGCAAAAAAATGGAAAGCAAACCAAACATAGAAAAGCTGTGAGACAACGAAGGTATCCTAAAACCTCCAGTGAGGTTTCTTCAAACTGGAAGGCTTTAGTCGCAGTATAAAGTAAGTACATATTTTTTCTGTGTTGGTGTATTGATCAATGTGAAACTTCGCATGTATTGATCAATTTGATCAATTTGAAACTTCGCATTTATGTATTGATCAATTTGAAACTTCTCATGCCTCGACGAGCAACATTTTGCCTTTTGGGGCCAAATGCCCCCTCCCCATGTTCTTGTTTGTATGTGTATTTCCTGAACAACAGAACAAAATATGAATAAAAACAATGCGTTTCTACAACAAATGTCTGTTACACATTTGACATTTGTCAATATCTGCAGAAACCATGCAGTTTATATCAGTGTCACTATGCCATGATTCAGATAGGTATGGCTGGTTCAAGTCGAGCAACAACGAAATTAAACAACTAGTAATAGACCCTTCCAAGGTTAAAAACATCATAATGAAACACAATGGTGCAAGTGGTGCAAACACAATGGAATATTCCCTGTAGGTAAATTTGCGAGGGGTGTAAATACAATGGTAAAAATAATCGATTAAAGATTGCGAAAAATACCTTGGAAGGGCCAATTAGTCTGAGTTAAAACTGTAAGGTAGGTTTTTACCAAAATAGCTGGTGACCATGTTCTTAGCAAATGCCCTAAAGAGACCCTGAAAGATTAAATTTCAATATGTTTTCAGGGGGTTAACGCCTCTCCTTAGGACACTTCCTAAGAACATGGCATACTGAAAAAATCCCTTACGCTAAATTAACTTGAATCACTGAGACCTCTGTGTGTACTTAATTACTCTTTGGTTCTATTGACCGTAAACATGTGCTCATACTACCTATCCCTAGATTGTTCACTTCATGTTGAATATCAAACTGCCAACCTTACCTTGGGGCAAGGAAATCCGATCAATTGCCCATGTGCTGATGCTCACCCCTCCTCCAGCATTCCTATATTTATATCGAGCCCCCCAACCCCTTTAAACTGCCAGCTATACACAGGCTACAATGGCGTCAAACTGTCAGTGTTCACAAAATTAGCTATTGGCCATTGCACCCGACAGCAATTTATCGATTTGTGGCCTGTAATTATTCTTTGGTAAAATATGAAATACTGTATTAAATTACTTGTTTAATTAAGTGCTGCAGCATTTGAAGCGTAACCCTTCAAATGCAGGAAATAAAATAGCAGGAAATAAAATAGCTTTTTTATTAATTTATTTATGATGCATTCCATATAAACTTCATGCCCATGTTGGAAAGTTTGTAAAATATATGGGCAATATCAAACTTTTGGTAACCATTTTTGCATATTACAAAAGTGTGGGGGATAAGTGAAGCTGTCTTGAAAGTGTGAAGGTGCAGCTGAAAATGTCTGAAAAGTGTATGGGATTTATCGCTTGTGCACCAGTGGCAGTCCCAGCATAGTAAAATTGGGGTATTGTCAATTGCGGAAGACGAGAGACATATTAGGGGAGTCTGGGGGACTGTAGAAATCTAAAGTCCCTGAAATGCGATTTCTAGCATTTGGGGGAGGGGTAAGATTGCACAGAATTCCAAAGAGTATAAAGTACATGAACTATGTGATTTTTTGTGAGAAAACCTAATGTACAGTTACATAAAACAAGCATAAAGTATATGGTGTTAGTCTAGTATCCAGTCTTGAAAACTACGTTAAAAGTGAAGTGACAATTAATAGAAGCAGTGATAAGGTTTTGCAAGCTTAAATATTTTCACTTATTTTATTTTGGATTTCCAATAATTTACTGAGTTCTATGGTTTTGGCTAGATCTTGTTCACTGCCACAAATGTATCCCCCCGCCCCCACACACACAAACTTTTCTAATTGTATTTGATTGAATTAGAAAATCCATCTTGAAGAGAACTTTCACAGAGGAGATGTGGCCTCCCCAGTCCTCCGGACCCCGTGCTTCCATCACTGCTGTGTACTAGAAAGTTCCATATAGGGAAGAGTCAGTGTCATGCTGACATGCACACCCAACATGCTTTGGGAATTTGAGGAAATATGTGATCTTGTTTTGCACAAATATAGTTTGTCCAAGCTAGTGCCAATGTTTTATTTTCTCCCAGCTGCTTGTTTTAATTGTTCGAAAGTATTGGAAGATTTTTCAGATTCAAAAATCTGGCAAGAAGCAGTAATGGCGTCAAATTTACGCCTGTCCAAACTCAAACCGAAAGCGTAGACTACAAGTGTTTGGCTTTTTAGCCATTTTTGTAGGATCTGTTATATAAGTATGAGAGGTAACATGGGTTATGATGGGTAACATTTTACTGTATTAAACACTGGATATGACTGTAGGTTAGAATTGCTATAAGTCGACTCGACGACTCGTATTATTTAGCTGCAAGGTTGGTTTGTGTTGTGAAGTGTGGATTTTTAAAAAAACTGTATCGTGCCACCTTAAATTAGTAAATAAAAGAAAATTGCTTGTTGTGAATTAAAAAATTGTTAAAACTGCTTGCTAAAAACTAACGATATTTTACAAAAGTGCCCAAATTCGTTTAATTTAACAACCAAAGCATGCAATACCATATAGGTTAAAAATCATTATGCGGCGTCGCGCGGTTGCATGGTACTGTAAATTTCTCAAATTTCAACTAATTTAAACCGACAAACAAATTGATAAATACAATAATTGTGTGAATTGATAATGTAGCACCAAAAGTTGGGCAACATATACGTAATTTCCTACAAAATGCTTGCGGGAAAACCTGCCTTTCGGGAAAAGGTTTACTGGGGGGCAAATAGACTTTGAGTTGGGACGAAACGACTTGGGCGCGAAACGACTTGGGGACGAAACGAACGGATACCTTATAAAATTATGAATCATTAAATACAAGCAAAGAGAGAGTTATTACAGGTTATGTGGGAGATATATCGAAATTTTATCTTTTGTGGATATCTGAAACGTATACCGCCAAACTCATTGATAATAATGGAAACATTTATTAAATAATGATTTTACATAGTTAAAACAAGGCAACCAGCACTCACTACAATATGTAGGCATCCAGGATGCTGTTATGGTACAGAGAGTTTTAAGTATTTACAATATGGTGATAAAAGTCAAGATTACCAGTATAAAAGTTCTGGGTTATTCCATTCCCTGTCAGAAAGTACGTACACTGTAGTCCTAATGCAAACTCCACATAGTTTCCTAGTTAAAAAGTTTATTTGAAATATATCTAAGCTCATTACATTCTCTAAAAAGCCATAAATCTTTTTACACTCTATTCCAATTACATCAATAGCCCCCATTGATAAATTGAAATACTCAACGGTATTGTATCGTTGCTTCAAAGCATTACAAAATTCCCTATAGCGTGTTGTTTTCCTAATACTTTTTTTAGTAATGTTAGTGTCAAATCTAATAGTCAGTTCAATTGCATAAATTGCTCGATTTGTGTAGTTTTCAATGATCATATCCGGTCGGTCTTCCAATCCAGTTACAACTGATGGATTTTCGAAGCCCTCGACATCTGCGTAGAAGCGTAGATGTTTTAATGCTTTAATGAAATACTCCTAAAACAGTAGTATACTACACTAGGAGGAGTTAGATATACTGAAAAACTAGATAATATTTATATTTATTTACAAGAAAGTCTTCATAATCACTGTATGACACATATATTAGGCGGTGATTAGAATGATGTTGTTATATGCTATTAACAACAACAACGGCAAAAACGACAACGACAATAACAACAACGACGACAACAACACTAAGACCACAAAACGAACATATAGTACAATACAAGCGATTCAAAACGATACTAAGTAGCTACATTAAGTGACTTAATTGAAGGCATGGCAAGTGTTTTGAAACTTGGGGTTGATTGGCAAAGATTGTTAAATGGGATATGATTCCAGGTAACGATTGTTCTTGGATAAAATGAAAACTTATATACATTGACACACGACTGAATTTGGCGGTAAGGACAGATATTAGGCAGACTGGATGCTCTAGTCAAAGGACACACGTCATCAGGAAGACTGATTCCAACAAGGCATTGATAGATCTTGTAGAACATAGTGGCTTGGTGTAGTAGTCGCCGTTGTTGGGGATTGTCCCAACTCAGGTGGTCGATCATTGGAGAGACGTAGCTAGCTCTGGAATAGTCATTGAAGACAAATCTAGCAGCTCTGCGTTGAACCATCTCGATTTTGTTGATGTTCCTCTTGGTGTAAGGGTTCCAGGCTGTAGAAGCATACTCAAGTTGTGGACGGACAAGACTAGTATACGCTCTTGATTTAACAGCAGCGCTACATTCACCAAGGATTCTTCTAAGTAAGCCAAGAGTGCTATTTGCCTTTCTTAACGCTTGATAAATACTCGACAAGATGTTTAAGAATTGAGTTGTGACGCCAGGTGTAGCGCCCTTCGTCCAGATGGGTCTTACAAGAGGACACGACATCTTGTGAGGTTTGCACATTTGAGCACGCATTGCAAAGATTGCTAGATGTTTTATTCCAGAGAAGCATGTTCTTTAAGGTTGGCAATGTGTTATTCAAATATCTCGCAACAAAGTTGTAAATGTTCTTGGGTAGTTTGTCTATAGTAGCATGCCAATCTTTAACCATGTCAGGAAAGGCCTCATTCCAAAGCGATTTTATAATTTTAACTTTGCAAAGTTAAATAATGTGTGATGTTTGCAACTTTTTCTGTCCGGATTTCTTGAATAACTTCCTTCGGCTTGAGATAACGATCGTACTGAACATTAGTATTTGTACTACTGGCCTTGTACGCTTGCCGAATGTCAGGAAAACTTGAGTTTTTCAACTTGCTTCTTAAAACAACTTGACATTGTGTGAATTTCGCCGATATATCAATTATGTTCAGACCAAATTTGGATTTACCAAGTAGTAAAATATCTAAAGTACCACAGGGAGGTATTTCAAGCCATGCACGAAATTTGTTGTGGCACATCATATCCAATGTTTGTCTTACCAGGTCTTATCAATGTCCGCAATTGTTTGATGCCAGGAGATTTTAGGTAGCAAATATTTCATATACGATTGTAACTTAAATTTCGGGTGTAAATGAAAGTCGATCAATTTTGTCCAACATTTCTTCAGTCTCCTCGAACAGTAATCGTTTGTGATCAGAATTATCCATAGCAAAATTATGGTAACGCCCAAGATAACAGAAACTTTCATTACGATTTACCGTAGGAATCATACTCTGAATTAGATGTAATTTTGGAAGGAATTGGGAACTTGTCGAGTTCAATTTAGATACCGCAAAAGTTTTACACTTATCAATCCGCAAAGTCATTTTGGCCCATGAACACCAAGCAGTAAAAGCGTTCAGTAGAACTCCTCTATTAACTCTGATGAACGCATTTACAAAATGCTCCGGGATATGGTGATATTGTAATACAGTAGAGATTAGTCGATGGTGAACCTCACCAAAAGCATTTTTTAAATCCAACAAAGATACTGTTAGAGAACGTTGTTGTTTTTTGGCTTGCTTGATTAGAAATGCTAAGTGTGCTGTGTGTTCAAATGTACCAGACATTCCAGGAGTAAAACCTTTTTGAATGCTGCTTTCAATAAAATTATTATTAACAGGAACTCGTACATCGTATTACGCAAGACAGACATGAAAATTGTCAATGGAACTGGCTGCAAAGTAATTGGTTTAAAGTTTTTAGGCTCATCAGGGGAATCTTTTTTGTGAATCAAAATAGTGACTGCTTTCTTCCAAGTATCCGGTATTTGACCCGATTTCCATACATTTTGAATTATAGCAGTTAACTACGATAATAGAAAATTGGTCCAAAGGGCAAGCAGAGCTATTAGATTTCATTCTTCTAATAATTGAAGTTTTTCTTGCATAAGTAGGAGGATCTGAATTAAATTTATGCGTAGGTGTCGGTAATGAGGGTATCCAGTCAGGTATTGTGAAAGTATGCGTGGGCAATAAACTTTTCCACATGGTTACGCAGTAATTTATACAGCTTGACAGGTTAAAGGTCGGCAAAAGTCGGGAAAAGTTTCATTTTCGTATAACGCCAAACGTTTTTTTTAATTTCTTCGTCATCATTGAGGGAATTCAAACCGGAGGTAGATTTTTTTTTGGAAGCTAAGTTACGTAATAGTTTTGAAACGTATACTTAATGTTATTCACATCGGTGATATATTGATGCTTCAATGCTTTCAAATTCACGTTTCAGCTCTTGCTTAGTATAATTAGCATACCTCTTATCGAATTCGTCGTCGTCATTTTTTTTATTCACTGTCCCGAAGTTTTCAGCGAAATAATCATAGACCAAATTTGACATTTTGATCACACATTCGTTTACTGATTTCTCGTTCACATCAGATATTGGTAATTCCGCTCTAAAGTACAAGTCCGCTTCCCTCCGTTGAGATTCGTTTTTAGGCAATTTAATACCTGGTTTAAGACCAGGTGTATCTTCCGAAATAAGGCCGTCAAGTTCGACAGCACGCAATGCTGTTGTATAACATTACCTCCCATAACCTACTAAGCTGTTTCCATCTTCTTTGTTTTTTTTGATAAACTGAGAATGATGATTGCTCAAATTGGATTGGCGAAAAGGCGTTCGTGATAAAGGCGTGCATGATCAACAACGTAACACGAGTGTTTGAAGAGGAAATTGGTTGATACAAAAACAGAGTCGTAATGAAGTTCCAGTCAGCGTAGAGTTAACCTCCGTTATTTCTTACTAATGGATTAGACGCAAAGAAAATAATAAACAACGAACCTGGACTAATAAAATTGACGGGAAAAGATTTCGAAAATAAATAAGATTGTGAACAAGGAGTAATACTTATTTAGGGTATATCGTAATTTCTCTGTTTAGCACCCCCTCTTCCCCACCCCCCTCTCATGTAAGCAATTAATTATGAAATCGTGAAGCGTGAAAGTATTGTATTTGAAAGATAATTATGATATTTTACTGATAATCACAGTACCCGATGTTGCATATTTAAAGAGAATCAAACGCGCAAACAGACTCTTTGTATACATTAGAATTACACCCACCCCCTTCTCCCCTAAAAAATTGATAGAGAAATTAAGGTATGCATGTTCTAGAATGTTTAGTATTGTGACAATATTTAAAGCCTGAAAAACAGATTTGCTTGCTGTAGACTTGTAGTATATAAATAACATCACATTTTTAATACGTTATCATTGTAATGTTGGCTTGGAAGTGTTCCTGGCCTCAGAATGTTGGGTGAACCCCATTAAGGTGTTTGGCTACACAGTAATCTTGGTTGGAACGACCATGTTGATAACATTAATTGCTGCCAAAGCACAAAAAGTGTTGGGACTTCTATACCGTTCAACAAGAGAAATGGATGACCCTTGTGTGAAACGTTTACTATACATAACGTGGGTTAGATCAACAATGGAATATGCCAGCCAAGTATGGTCACCGTACAAGAAACGCAACATTACCAAACGTGAACAAGTTCAGCGACGAGCTTCGCGTATTGTTCTCAGTGATAACATTGAGTACAAGGACAGGTTAATAAAACTTCATTTATTGCCACTATGTATGCGTAGAGAGATAGCAGATTTGGTATTTTGCTTTAAAGCAATACATGGTCAAGTACAAACACCTTCGGATTTATTTGCGTGGTCTGTTACTGGTTGGTGCTTCTGAACATACTACCGATGATCTCAAGTTGGCTGTTCATTTGCCTGTACTGATGTTTTTAAACATTCAGATTTTGTTAGAATTACAAGATTATGGAATTCTTTGCCATATACAGTTCGCTCCCAGAGGAGGAGTGGTCACTATACCACAATGCATCGCTTCTCATTAATATTCGGAATTGAACTTTGCGAGTCTTTGAGAGATGTTTGTCGAAAAATTGTGGTTTTCTATCGCGATTTTTCACTCTGAAAATTTCGATTTTTGGAAGGTACGTTTTTATAATTGTTTTATTTGTGACCTTAGTTGCACGATTTTTGTTTTATGTGGTTGTCGTATCATGTTTCAGTTATGTTAATCACGCATTGAATTAACCTTAGCTTCGGGTCAGCAGAGTTGTAACGAGTCACCTATAGGTCGAGTCACGAGTCGAGTCACTCAAAGGTCGAGTCACGAGTCGAGTCATTTCGGTTTCTGATCGAGTCGAGTCGGGTCAGTGGCTTCACTCGAGTCGAGTCGAGTCGAGTCAGCAGTTTCACTCGAATCAAGTCGAGTCATTGGTTTAAGTCGAGTCGAGTCAATAGCTAGACTTAACTTGAGTCAGGGAATTTGATCAAGTCCACCCACATCCTTGTCCCCAGGGCCTCTCGGCCACGCGCGTCCTCCCTAGGCCCTGGAACATAAGAAACTGGAAGTACAAGTAAACTTGCAGTAGTTTCTAAAGCGCATGGTCTTGAATTGGGACACTTTAGCACCCGTAACAATTTTCAAAGTGAAGTATTACGAAGAAACGAAGTATTTGCGTTGACATATATGTTGATAGAATAATTTTTCCTAGCTAAAACTGCTCAACTTCTGCGAAATAGGATTTCTCTGAGAAGCCAATCAGATCTCTCGCTTTAGTCGCCTAACCCACAGCCTACTTTTCAACGAGTGACCGAGTGAAAATGGCTCTGGGGACGAGAATGGTCCACCTCACGCTTTTTGTAATGGTTCGCTACCTTAGCTTGCAGTTTGAAATTAGTAATCAAATCTACGTTTTAAGCTAATCACTTTAGTCATGTAATAACAGTATCTGGGCAGCCATAGGCTGTACCAATATCACAGTTCTAGTCAATATTAAGTACAACCACATGAGATGTCTCATCATGCCTGCTGATCGAGTGTACGTATATACAACTAGCATAACTTGCAACTGGAGTCAGAATTAACAAAGAATATACTTTAATTAACCATGCTTTGTAAGTTAATTTGAAATTATATAGCACTTCATAAATACCAAAAATGAAGATAGCCGGTCAGAATTAGCATAAGTACAAAAAATTTTGAGACTCCATTTTAAAAACTGTGGCACTAGCGTTGTTTCTAAAAACAGAAATGTAATATAGGCATGCCCGTCAGGAATATACTGTATTCTTTGCAAATCCCATATATTTTCTGATAAAGTTTCGAAGTTCTCATTATTCACAGGGCTCATTGTTCTTCCCAAGCAATACAATCACAATATTTTTGATGAATTTATTCTCTACAAGTTGTAGCTGAGTTGACTCGAGTCTTTCACGACAAAATCAGCAAGTCGAGTCCGAGTCGAGTCATTTTGGGCTGTTGACTCGAGTCGAGTCGAGTCATTTTTCGTTTTGGACTCGAGTGGCTGAAAATAGCAACCCGAGTCGACTCGAGTCCGAGTCAATGACTCGACTCGTTACAACACTGCGGGTCAGTGCTCATGCTACAAAAGTGGCTTTGATATTCGCCGGGGGTTAATTTAATACTTTTTAAAGCAGGAAATTCAACAAAATTTACAGCATCGAATTCAGGAAGGGTTATTCTTTCTATTGATACTTCAAAACACAAATAACCCCCTCGAACTGACGAGTTATCGCGGTTTGAAAATGGGGTATATTTCGGGGCTATAAAAGAAATGGCATTGATATACGCCGGGGGTTAAATAGTTTATAAATCGGGAAATTCAGCAAAATTCACATCATTGAATTCGGGGAGGGTCACGGTTCTAGCTGATACTTTAAAACATTAATAATCTCCTCCAACCGACGAGTTATCGCGGTTTGAAAATGGGGGTATATTCCGGGTATAGTGCCATGACACGAAAACGGCTTTGATATACGCAGGGGGTTATTAGGTTTATAAATCGAGAAATTCAATAAAATTCACATTGTATTCAGTAAGGGTTACTCTTTCTATTGGTACCTTAAAACATTCCCCTGAAACCGACGAGTAATCGTTGTTTGAAAATGGGGTATTTTTGCTTTTGTTGTCACCAATCGCGGGAAAAGAGAAAATATGGCGCGAATGCGACGTAAACAAGCCAGCTTTTCTAATGTATTGTTCCTGATTGTATCATTTGTTTTTGTAGAATTCGAGTTTATTGGAGCAAAAAATGGAATCTATTAATAATGATGGCGATGTTGGCATTGTTGATCATGAGTTAGAAAATGAGGAAACTCAAATTACGCCAGGAAAATATCTCGTGTGGAAAGTTCATCATTCAGTCGAGCTTTGTTTCAACGTCGTGGCACATCAGCAAAGGTATAATAAAAACAATTATGGTAGACGAAATTGTACTTAAAACTTTGTTATTCTTTGCTATTCTATTCTTATAAGTTGTCTTTGTATATTCAGTGTAAAGCTGGAGTAAATATGAGCAACAAAATTGCTGCAACTTGCAACTAAAAATCTGATTTCAACGCATGTTAAGTAGAAATGTTGACACATGTTGCCTCGTGATTTGTATTAACTTATATGCATGTCAACATTTCCACTTAACATCCGTTGAAATCAGATTTTGTTGCAAGTTGCAGCAATTTTGTTGACCGTATTACTCCACCTTAATACCTCTGTGTAACATTATTCTGCAGTGTAACATTATGATTCGTGTATGATTATTCATATGTCATCTGTGACTCAATTTCATTTTAAGGACCTGTCACACTATTGCATATCGTACTAGCGTATGCCAGCGTATGAAAAATATCACTCATACGCCGGTATACGCTCACATACGCTAGGGGTACGTTAGGCATAGGTTGTATACGTTTCAAGCACGGTCGCATACGGTGGCATACGCTGGCATACGGCGAGGCAGAATTTTTTTTAAGCATGTTCAAAAATTTTGTGCGTATCGGACGTATGGCTTTATACGATAAGCATACTCTAGGCACACGCTGAATACGCTAGAGGTACGCCAGATGTACGGTACTCATACGCTGGCATTTCAAAGGATTTTTGTGCGTATGAAAATTATTTCCTTAATTTTCATACGCTTCTCATACGTTTCTCTCGTACGCAATAGTGTGACAGGGCCTTTAGTAAATGACATACTTTTTTGTAGTTTCCTAGCAGAAAGATCAGGCTGACCCTTTCAAAGAAGTCACCATGCAGTGAGAAAAACATAAATGGACCTTTGAGGAAAATAAAGCTTTGATCGAGTTTATATATATTGCCAAAACAGATCCATGGATCTGGAAAAATTTTGTCCATAATAAAATAAAAACAATTTACATTATCCTAGTAATCTATGTCACTGTTATAATTGTAGGGATCCATAATAAAATAAATATGTAAGGATCCATAATAAAATAAAATAAAATAACAACAATTTGCAATATACTTATTGTGTGTGTTGGTGTTATTTACTCAGGTGGTTATGTTTGTGATCCACACCGAGCTGAGCTCAGTCGGTAGAGCATTGGACTAATATCCCAAAGATTGCAGGTTCGATTCCCACCGCGGTCATGCAGGCAAACGTTTCAGCTTGCCCGGTGTGGATGCACACTCAGAATAACATCACAAACATCAATTTACAATATTCTTGTTTCTTGGATCATCTCTGTCCCATGGTCCACTTTTCACAATCAGCAATGCTGCACTGTAGGGTAATACCCACCAAGCACACAGAATTTATTGGTTGTATATCACAGTTACATCCAGTTTGCCCTTGTAAATTTATTGGTGACAGCACACTGTCCAAATCTTCATTAACAGTATCTGGACCTCGAGGTTGAATTGTTGGAGGTGGCAATGGCAGAATATCGAAATCCCACAAAATAACATTCCCAAAGATAAGAGATTATCCTGTTCCATCTCGCCTTAGATCACTGAGGTCAGAGAACTGCAATATAAGAAAACAATCTTCTGTTTAACCCTTTAAGTGCCAGTGCTCTCCCTTGACAAGTAAAATCGTCTGGTGTTAGACAGAGTGAAATATTAAAGTAGGGCGCATGAGGCCTGATGAGGGCACAATGCGACTCAGTGGGTTAACTAGACACATGGGCAGATAGGCCAGCTGCCATTAGACAGTAAAATAATCTGGCGTTAGACAGAATAAAATAATAAAGTAGGGTGCATCAGGGCGCAATTAATGCGACTCGATGTAATTCAATGGGTTAATTACTTTAATAGTACGTACAAAATACCAAAGTAATCAAACCTCTATGATCAAACCAAATGAACAGTCTAGGCTTAAACTATTTTTAGCTCTATATGCATATATTCTTTGAAAATAGAAAGCACAAATTGCACAATATTGTTACCAACGTTGGCTATAAAAATATGAATCATAGAATGAGTGATAGAAAAAGCAAAAAGCATTACGTAGATACATTGCCTTTGTATTGGCTTTAAGGATTAAAACAAACGACTTACCCTAATAACACAACTGGGATGTATCTCTATACTCTATCAATGCTGGGCTATTGCAATCGGCGAAGATTTCATCAACTTTTAGAGACAAATATAGCGGTTCTTCTGAAGTGAATCTCACGGCATTGAAACTGAAGACACGATAACCCATAGGAACCAACAGCATAGGCTCTGACGATGCACACTGAACAAAAAGAAGACCGTGTCCTTCCAAAACTGAAGCTTTATGGCGTAATGGCGGTGAATCGGCTTTACAAAATCCGCCATATTTCTCACTCTTGTTGTTTTGACAGTGAAGGTCAAGCGATCAATAACCGCCCGCTCGTGGAAAATCAATAATATATAATTAATCGGAATAATCGCAATGCATCAAGGTATAGTGACCACTCCTCCTCTGGTTCGCTCCTTAGAATCTCTTCCATCGTTCAGGAGGGAACTGTTTAAACTAGATTAGATCGTTTTCATATTGACTGGAATCATTAATTTAATTTAACAATTTTTTTATTTGGATCGATATTCTCAATTTTTAACAAACAAAAGAATATAACAGAACAAATATTACATTAAGTTAAAATAACCTAGATATAAAATGTAGATCCAAAAAGGTAAGGTACGAACGGGACTCTCATAAAAGGTCCTATGCAGGGCACCCACCTCCAAAATAGTAATCATGATAAGTTGATAACTAATAGAACATCACGAACTCAAACTCGCTAAAGGATTCCGGAAACTTATAAAGGATTCTTACACTGTTGAGTGGAATTTTCAAGCTCTTAGCGTTGTATAATGTGATATAACAAAGCCAGGAAAACTTTACCAGTGGAATGTTCGCTATAAACGTAAGTTAAAACTACAATTGTCTCGAACATTTTTATGTAAATTATTAATAAGTAACAGCATGGTTTCTCGTGAAATTTGGACAAACGTGCACTCGTGGGCTTTTCCAAGACCCCAAATAGCACTCGTCCTTCGGAGATCTCCTTCGGACTCGTGCTATTTTGAGGTCTCTGAAAAACTCACTCGTGCATGCTATATCCAAATTGCACTCGAAACCATGCTATTATCTATACTAAATTCCGTGCTTTATCAGATATAAGACACTCGGCTGTCGTCTCATGTTTTATATCTGATAACTCTCCTGCTCGTGTTTGAAATGGTATTAAATCCATTGAAATTAAGCCAGAGTAATTACGAATCAGTAAATATCTTAAGACACTAACAGTATTGAATGTAACTATCAAAAACTCAATCTAACTATCCGATCAATGAATAAAATAATATCATGAAAGTTTGAAATCGATAAACATTCTTTTAAAATGATCTATCGGTGACAACAGGCAAAATCCTCATGTTTAGCGCGCGAATATATTTGTCTTCGAGCTTGATCTGAATCACAATGCACCGTGGCTGTCAGATGTTGGGATCCGAGGTAACCGCATTAGCTGTACAAACCTGCGTCAGTGTAGCAGAAAATTTCAATTTCCCCAGTATATTACACTCCCTAACTAAATGTAACAGGTATATTTTTGCAACACTCCCTGACTAGATGTAATAGGTATATTTTTGCAACACTCACTAACCAGATGTAATAGATATATTTTTGCAACACCCACTGACTAGATGTAGATATATTTTTGCAACACTCACTGACTAGATGTAATAGGTATATTTTGCAACACTCACTGACTAGATGTAACAGGTATATTTTGCAACACTCACTGACTAGATGTAACAGATATATTTTTGCAACATCCACTGACACTGACTAGATGTAATAGGTATATTTTTGCAACACTCACTGACTAGATGTAATAGGTATATTTTTGCAACACTCACAGACTAGATGTAACAGGTATATTTTTGCAACACCCACTGACTAGATGTAATAGGTATATTTTTGCAACACTCACTGACTAGATCATTTGTCTACCGAGATAATACTAGCGAGGTTCAGATTTGACTTCCACTATCACCAATGGTCCAGTAACCAATCAGACGCGCCCGATACATCCGACCAACCAATGAGATGCGTACTAAGCCAGTGAAAGGTAGCGATAGCGGAAGTCAAATCTGAACCTCTCTTTGTCTGTAAGGAAATATCGATAGACCAAACTGGCCATTAAAATAACATGCTTGCACTGATACCAAAGTATTAGCAGTGAGCTCTATATAGATATATGGAGCAAGAACTTCAGTCATTCTGCCTGTGAGAAAGGTGAAGCCAATCAATGCGTCCAATAGTTATGAAGGTCGTATACAGTTTTAATACCATTTTTCCCAGCTAATTCCAGTTTTTTCAAAAAGACCGTAACGCTAATCAAGTTTTCAGTTCATAAAATCATAACATTAGTCTTTAAATCGAAGTCAAAATACGAAATTTCGCACACTCCTTGCCAGCTTCATGCCCGACCGCGCAGATGAAAACGATAGAAACTGAAAGGGACTGGCACTGGACGTCCATTCCCTTATATCGACTTATATTACTTGTTTGATAGTTAGTTAAATTAGTTTTTTTAGTGGGTGCCAGTGGTAAGAGAATCATGAATTCTGTTGTAGGCTTCCCAAATACATTCTATTGACTTTTGCTATAATTGACAATCGACATGTATTAGAAATTACTTAAATTAAAAAAATTAAATTAAATTAAAATGCAAATAGCTTTGGAGAGGTTGTACTTCAATTTGTGCAACTATTTCGCTTGGGGGGAAGTGGATTCTAACTACTGTAAGTAAGCTCTAATCTATCGATTCATGTAAAAATTATGAGTTACACGAGCGGTGCTACGGAATTCAACATTTTCGACCCTCATCCAACGGCCTAAATGATTCAATCGCAGGCTTCGATGATTCAATCTTAGCATTCAGGGATTCAATCTAGGATTCAATGATTCAATCTTAGGATTCAAAGATTCAATCTTAGGATTAAATTATTCCATCTTGGGATTCAATGATTTAATCTTAGGATTCAATTGTTCGATATTAGGATTCAATATTAGGGTCCAAGAAGAGGTTTACTTAGGAAACGAAATGGGACACGATTTCGAATTCGCCCAACCAGCATTTTCGTCCTTTTGAAAGCAGTTACTTCATCTAAAGACGAAAGCAGACTTATATTCATTTATGCAATGTTTTTCGTCAAAATCCAAGATCTGATTGTTTATGTTAGTGAATATATCCTAATGCGACCTAAACCGACCTATATAAAGCAACTTGTGTATGTAGATTATTTGTTATGATATGGATGAAAATTAAATTATTGCTTGCCTCTGCAAATTCCATTCCCGGGCCGATATTATAGGTGCACAGAAAGCGAGTAATATAGCTGGAGTATATAGTAAATATATATGATAACTTGAAACAGTATAGTGTTTTGCCTAGATTGTGTTTGCCATGCATTTTTTGTCCGGCATGGCTATTTATGTATCCAAATGCACAATCTGTTATATCATGGGTGGGTTTCACTAAGTGCTGTACATGGGGATACACAATTACTTTACATGCATGTTTTGAAGATTTATATATACATACATTGGGGGCCTGTTATAGTCGTTTGAGCGACTACATAACAGTAGATCGCGTACATTTGCAACCAAACAGGAAATAACCGAAATAACCGTTTCCTTTTAGAGTCGTTTAAGTGCAAAAATCTCCTATATTGACAGATATTTTGAGGCAAATTGTATTATAATTGCCAGCTAGTCTACAAATAGTACACCGTTATTGTGAGTTTGGGACTTTATTCTTTAAGTTTAAATATGTATATGCATGCAATGACATTGTAAGTTGTTAGTATTAACTATGTAATCCTGCATTGGCAGTATTATTGCCAGTAAAGAAGAAGATTTATTGCTTCACTACAATTTTTACAGTCATTAATGATTATGATCTTTATTGAGATATTCTTTTTCACAGAAAGTGATTTTCAAAAAGAATCTCTAAAGTTACTAGATATTTCAAAGATTATTTGACTATAAATAACAATTAATATGTAATACTATGTATATGTACATTTAAAACAATTTAAACTAATTTTAACATGTTACGTTTAAAAATAGCAACATTTGCTGATTGCTGGATGTCCCGGTTTAATGAATTAAAGTCATTAACAGCCTGAAACGCAGTTCTTTGTTGACCCCATTGCCTTTCAGCACTGGGGAGTCTAAGCTTGTCCTTATTTCTAGTGTAATAATATACATAAAAATATTACTGGACTGTGATTGGTTGATTTCAGTGTAGTTAATCCCAAACAGCAGTGCAATTTTTTGTAATCACAGTGCAATTTTCTGTAATCACAGTGCAAAAATCTGTAAACAAACTGATCTGATTGGTGGAAAAACAATGTGATGATAAAATCAACCAATCAGTTTAAAGCAGTTTAGTTTAAATAATTAATGCTTCCAGAGGAGTGCTTCAAAACAAAACAAACATGGCGCCGCACAGCATAAAGTAAAAGTTGACTTCGGTTGGAAAATATGGCTTTTATTTTTTTTGAATGGAAAAGCGTTTACCTTAAACAAGACTTACAAAACCTAAATAACTGAGTGGAATTTACAAGCTGTTAGCGTTGTATAATATATGTGATATAACAAAGCCAGGAAAACTTTGCCAGTGTGGACGGTTCGCTTTAAACGTAAGTTAAACTACAATTGTCTCGAACATTTTTATGTAAATTATAAATAAGTAATAGCATGGTTTCTCGTGAAATTTGGGTAAACATGCACTCGTGAGTATTTCAAAGACCTCAAATAGCACTCAACCCTAATGTCTAGCCTACAAACTTTGCAAAATAAGGCTGCCAAACTCATTCTAGACAGACCCCTATACTCATCTGCATCGGATGCCCTAACCACACTTAAGTGGATGTGGCTAGAAAAGAGACGTTACCAAAGGAGATGTGTTTACGTGTATAAATGTATAAATGGTCTAGTAGATCACGATATGGACTTGTTAAGGCATGAAGATCAACATACGTATTAGTAGAGGTATAATAGCATGGTTTCGAGTGCAATTTGGATATAAAAATGCGTTTAAGGACACCAAGCCTTTCATTAATCTTCTTTGCAATATGTTGAATACGATTAACTCAATGCGTTGAGTAGAAATATACATAATCAGGAGTGAAGCCGGCTCTCCAAATTAACCAGTAGGCTAATCAGAGTTGCAGGCCAAAAATACCGAATAATAATAAAATAAATTAATAGAGTAGGATATTAAGAACCAAAAAAGAAATAAAATAAAAGACTAGTTTCTGAAATATTTAAAGAAAACGTTAATATGAATCAACAAAATTAGCTTTTAAGATTTCGTTTGAGCTGTGTAAATGGGAGTCATTTGTCAAAATCGCTGAGTGCATTCCACACCTTGACACCCCGATATCTATTGTTAAATAAACAAAATTTGTCCTGGGTTTAGGTAATGATAAACAAAGTCTCGACGCAAGTCTTTTATTATGTGAATGTAACTGATGCACATGTGCGAAGTAATCGTTGAAATTTAAAGGCAGAAAGCAATTATGAAATTTATACATGAACATTGTCATAAATAATGTGATCGGATCAGTTAACTTTATGTGTCGAAGGCGCTGAAAGATTGGATTCGAATGTTCATCAAAAGGAAAAAAGTTATAATGCGAATGGCTTTTTTTGTACACAACTAGTGGTTTAAATGTAGTTGAGTAAGTATTTCCCCAGATTATTAAAGCATAGAGTAAAAATGGATAAATAATGGCATAATACAACTTTACAAGGATATCAGTATTTACTAAGTAACGAACTTTAGAAAGAATACCAATACCTCTTTTAATTTTTTTGTAATATGGTTGACCTAATATTTCCAAGATAGGTGGGAATCAATGAAAATTCCAAGATGTTTAATATAATGAACCTTTTTAAGGTATCTACTAGAAATACTAAGATTTATGCATGTCTATCTCAGGGTTTTTTGGTAGGGATGTAAGACAACAAAATTTGATTTTTCAATATTTAGGGATAATTTATTTGCACATAACCAGACGTGGATGTTATCCAACTCTTTGTTAATATTAGATTCTAAGACTGATATGTTCTTGGTTTCATAAAATAAATTGCCTTTGAGTCATCAGCAAGGTGATGGAAATCAAATAGGTCTGAGCATTCATGAAAATCGTTGATATATAAAATAAATAAGAGGGGGCCCAAAACAGGTCCTTGGGGTATACCACCATTTACTTCATGGCAATTACACATTATATTATTAACAGACACACAATGTTGCCTATTAGTAAGATATGAAACAAACCATCGTTTGCAATCCTCCCAATATCATATTTTCTAGTTTATTTATTAAATACCATGATGGACAGTATCCACAGACGGATTTTCATATTTTTTACTGGGGTGGTGCCAGAAATTTTAGGGGGGGTGAGCCGTGAGCAGGTGACTGAAGCAACACAAAGTGTCACCAAACCCCAGTAAGGTCTATATTCTAGGGGTCGCATAGGCGTCGAAAGATCGATAAGTGGGGGGGAACCCATATTCATATATTTGTGTTCTGCATTATTAATTTCTTTTGAAATCGATTGTTTTTAAAAGGTGGTCATCTCCTCTGGAAACTTTTTTTTTCATTTTTAAGTAGATTTATGCAAAAATATGATTTTCTGAAAGGGACAGGTGACAGAAAATGACCAATGCAAAAAAATTTTCACAAAGTCGTTAATTACACTAATTATCCAATATGGCAGCCGTTAATTAACCGGTAATTGCTTAGCATCGTAAACATTATATCTCAAGAACCAGTCATCAGAATAAAATAAATAATATATTTTTGAAAAGCTTAGAACCTGACCTATTATGTGAAACTCTTCAATTTTCTTGAAATATCTTTAAAAAAAATTAGAGCCATATTTTGGAATTTTTCAATTATTGCAACTCTTAATCCGGCAATTATGAAGGAAATTCGCCTATAATTCATTAAGGATGATTAGTATTGAAAATTGAAGAGTTTCACATAATAGATGATGTTACAGTTAGTAAGTATGCCAAATATCAACTCCCTGCAGTAAATAGTTACAATATTACAGTGTCACAAAGATCACTTACACATGCCAAATTGCGAAAATGAGAAAATCCAATCTAAAGTTTTCGTTCATGCTTTTCTCACAACATAAAGGTTTAGAAGCTACCTGCTTCATATGTTACCCCTTCCTTGTCCTCAGCATTATCCAGAAACTTTTTCCTGAAGTGTCTCAGTGATTTCCTTCTTGACTTGACTTTCTCTGAGCTCTTTCTGGCCGACAGCTTGATCCTCGCTCTGTCGCAGTCTTTGGCACCTTTACAAGTGAAGAACCCAGGCGTTATATCTAAGTCTTCCAGAATTTTAAGATATGATATGTCCCCATCATTAAACTTTAGGACTGCTAGGTAGGTGGCAAGAGCTACAGTTTCCTGCTCTACATATGTAGTCTTTGGACATCTGTCCCAGATGATCCCGTTCAAACATTCATTCGGATTCTGGGTCAAGCCATGGGTGCATTTCTTTAACAAAGCTGGGTCAGCCAAATCATCAAATATAGGCTCAACCAACTCAACAATGGGCTTTGGAATACCATTTTTATGTTTGTATGTTTTGGAATCTCTTTGATAGCCACACCAACTGTCCTCACCTTTCGGGCAAAGATGATGCTGCGGGTTCTCTTCTGTTGACGCAACGTGGAAAAGAGACGCTTTTACAGCCTTAGCCATTTCTTCAACATTATCAAGGTTTTCTCTTATTGCCAAGCCATAATAATTTTGGAGAACATCCATCTTTCCAGTAGTTAGGCGACCTTTGCCAGATATTCCTTTGCCATCTGAGAGTTTTCTGCCTTTATTCGAACTCTTTAGCCTCCGCAGTCTGCTTCCGACTCGCTTCTGGACATGCCCAATACATTCTAGTTTGCTGGGTATACAGTCCTCTCCATAGGGTTTACTTTCTAGAATAGCACTATAAGTGGACGAATCACCATCTCCAAGCATATCTTTGTATTTCAGCCCCTTTGTAGCGCATGATCTTTCAAAGATCGTTAAGGCACCAGCTGTCTCCATGCTGCCAGAACTCCCCATATGGTTGATCTTGCATTGGTGATTGGCTTTCCATTCTTTATACTTTGGATCATTCTGCTTTTTGCTCCACTTGAGACACTGCTGGCACTTGTCGGACAGGACTTCAACATCAAGACACTTCTTTGTGTCGAGGGAAATTGCCGTAACAACACCATTGTGTGATGAATAACCACGCTTCTGCCATGTGCCATCTATGGATATTCCACATTCTCCAGCATCATTATCAATAATTTCCTTGACATGCATAGCATTATTGACCATGCTATCATTGGCACACTGCTTCACTACGGGTAAAAGCTTTTTATTTTGGATCTTTGTGAAGTTGGCACGTCGTGGTGGAGCAGGCATGTTGAGAACTTTGCTGAAAGTTGTCATGGCACTGTGCCCTTTACCGATTTCTCTAAAGGCCAAGACTGCTCGGACATTGATTTCAAAGGACTGTCCTTGCTTCTTTGAGGTATTAAAACAATACTTCCAGTCGCATGCCACACACTGCAAAGAAATATAATGAGCATACCCATGTTTTTTCCTCATGTCAACATGTGACTTCATTTCATCTCCACAGTCAGGACATTTCAGAATTTTATCAAAGACACCAAATAAGATTGATAAATCCATAAATGCTGTTCCTTCCCTTATAGTGTCTATATTTTCAGAATTAACGCCAAAATTTGCTGTCTGGGCACCAATTTTCGCTCCGGAAGGCCCAGCTTCTTTGTCACGAGGTTCGTCGCCATGTTTGAATTTTTTTGCCATTTTGGAAGGCGTCTTTCTAACCCGTTTTCTCTTTCTGTTCTGCAGATTTCCCATTTAATGACTTCAAATTACAACCCAAATAACAAAAGAAATCTTTGGGAAACTAGAACAGCAACTTTTCGACTTGGAATGTTAAAAAAACTAAGGTTTTTGTAGACAATTTCACAGATAATGCAAATGCGATCGATCACAACACAGACAAAGAAAACGGGTTGCCATGGCTCCCCAAAGCAACCAATCACAATGCAGCTAGGTCAGAAGACTCTAAATTCCATACACCAAAAGGAGAAACATAAATGATCTTGTTTGAAGCGATTTTGGGACGAAATTTTAAGCGAATTTTGTCCCTAAATGCGTTGCTATGGGGTAAATTTTCAAACAAGGTAACTTTGAAAGCTTTTTTCGCCTTGTATAATGTTTTTTTTAAAAAGTAAACTATGCAGTCTTGAAGTACAATAGTTAAGGGGCTCAAAATAACAATTTATTTCAATGGTCAAAAGTCAGTTAATAAGAGGAGATGACCATTAAGGCCTGTGAACACGAATATATGAATATGGTCCCCCCCCCCACTTATCGATCTAAAATATACCGCATGAGTAGTTTCGATTTTTAACTGCATTTTGGATTCTATCAGTGATAGTAAGAATCGCATGTTCTGTTGAGTGCTGTGAACGAAAGCCAAATTGTTTGTTATGAAGTATACATTTCTGTTCAAGAAAATTGATCAGACTAGTATGCATAAGTTTTTCTTGTAGTTTATAAAATAGAAAGAAGGGAAATTGGTCGATAGTCATTGAAACTACTATAATCTCCCTTTTTGAAAACTAGTATAATTCTAGCTATTTTAAAACTTTGAGGTACTATACCATTTCCAAAGGAAGCATGAAATAAAATGTCGAATGGCTTCGAGAGAACATGTTGAAGAAGTTTTAATACTTTGATAACATACCTCACAAATATATGTTTGGGAATTGATAATTTTGTAATTAAAAGTGATATTTTTAGGGGATTTTTCATTTGTAAAAATATTCTTAACAAAATTATCGTGTTGCCATGACAACTACTTTAAATACTTCATGTTCGGAAAATACAATGGTTTTGTCAGCAAGGCGAGGGGTTTCTGCACGCATGTATTTTCTAGTATACTTATTAAATAACTGTGCCAGTGTACGTTGTACCAATCATAACAAAACTTCGGTTGACTGGCATGCAACTAGTGTAGCTGAAAAATACAAGGCCCTTTGTTGGGGATTATGTAGAATGCATGATGAACAACGCATAGTGCACGTAGAATGTGTGATTTGCGGTTACTTGGAGACTCAGGCTTGATGCAAGACCTCGAGCGGTACGTCTTTGCACCAGACGGCACTACATTATGTATATATGGGGACGCAGCCTACCTGTATAGGGTTCGCCTCCAGCAACCATTCCCAAATAATGCTGCATTAACAGAGGATCGATATGAGGAAATATAACAAGGCAACGGGGCAGTTTGTGAGTCAGTATGGAATGGTTGTTAGGAGAAATAACCAAGTATTTTAAATTTGTAGATTTTATGCAGCAACTTAGAATACGGTGAAGTTTACATTGGAAAAATTTACAGAAGGAAAAGTTTACATTGTGTCTGCCATATTGCAAAATAGTTTAGCTTGCTTGTCTGGTAACATTGTATCAGAATATTTTGAAATCAACTAGAAAACTACTGTACTTTTGGAGAACTGATGCATAGTGTCATGGCCAGATGATAATAATACTTTATGAAACTTATATTCCCAGGGACGTCGCTACCGGGTTGTGTGGGTGGTAGGGCGGGTGAGGTAACACCCCCAATAAATAAAAAAGTAGGTAAACGTAGGTCAAAATGGAAAATATTTGGTTAAAGTTGGTCAAAGTTGCAGGTCAAACTTGGCAAACGTTTGTCAAAGTTTGCGAACAAAGTTGGTGAAAATTGTTTAAAGTTTCAGATAAAAGTTCTTAAAATTTGGTAAAAGTTATGAAATCGCTCCCAATTTTAACAATTTGTAAGATTTGTTAATTTTAGTCCGAAGGTTTGGTAAAGTTAGTCCGGAAAAAAATTGAAGCTATACTTACGTTAGTCCGGAAAATATTTTTCATAAGTCCCCCCCTGTCGACAACATTTTGTGGGAAACATTTTTTGGAGTTAGTCAAAATTGTATAGGAAAAGTTGGTCACTGCAGTGCTAAACACAAAGAATGGTCAAAATCATAGCAAACACATAGGGGCCATTCACAAAGAATGTCCAAGCCGATGGGGAGGGGGTTTTGAAAGTCAGGACAAACTCGGACATGGGGGGGGGAGGGTTTTTTTTAGCAATCTGTATGTCCGAATTTTAAAAAAATTCAAAAACAAACTTTTTGCCTCTATTTTGAACTCTCCTTCCCAATGTGAAATTGGCATTTTGAACACTTCATAATATTATCTAATTTTTTCCTTCAATGATGAATTCAACAGTGTCGGGAAACAATCGCTTTCTGCATTTATAACTCTTTTTGTATTCATATTTAATTATAAAAAAAGATATACAAGGTTGCGTGAGTTTTTGCGAGACATAGCGGATGTCCGGGGGGGGAGGGAAGTTCTCTAATTCGGACAATGCCGGCCAAGGGGGAGGGCGGCAAAATCCATCATTTGGACGGACATCCTTTGTGAATGGCCCCGTAACAAAATGTACTTACAGTTTTAACGATATTTTGCAAGTTCAAGCAAAGTGTTCCTTTTTTTTCGAGCTCTTGGTTTCGAACTTCCAGTACTTTATAGTTTATGTTCCATCTCTTTCTTTCTATACTCAATTACATGATTCGTTTTATTTCTTAAAATCTCTACCATAGCTGTTTTCTTGGCTCTTAACAAATCGTTTCCTGATGCTTTTCTTTTTACTGTTCCTCGAGCAGTTTCTAGTGCGACTTGTCTTACATCCACTACTTGACTCCTGTCCTCGTCTTTTGCACCTTTTTCTTCTTTTTCTTCTTGACTCCCAAAAAGAGAGACAGCCTCCGCAATATCGTCATCAAGTTGACTAGGCTCAGCAGTGCAAATGCCCCGAAGTATTGATTTCCGTTCTCTCTGGCCAACAAATGTTTGCTATCGCGTACAGCCCTGATATACTTCAAGTTGAGCACTGTATCTGCTCTATGGTGGCCGATCGCTATCATTCATTTTTTTGTTATTATATAAAATAAAATAAAAACAAAATGAAAATGAAAATAAAATCAAACTCAAAATGAAACTAAAATCAAAATAAAAATGAAAATAAAATCAAAATAAAATCAAAACCAAAATGAAAATAAAATCAAAATCAAAATTAAAATGAATATAAATTTTATCGGCCTATCGCTATCAAAATTAATTTGAAATGTAATACAATTTTAAAATATAATTCAAGGGAAAATAACAAAAAAAAGTTTTTTCAAAATAAATTGCTTTT